GGGGGGGGGGGGGGGGGGGTACTTTTGCATGCCTTAGTTGTGACAGACACCATTGACCAACGGCGTCCTCTCTTGTTCATTTCTACTTTGCCAACGGTGCATCGAAAATGTTGTCCCTATCCGACTATGTATCCTTTAGATGGGCGTACGGGGGGGAGGTGGTCGTATGCAGCAACAGCGTACACACGCCACACCCGTTGCGAGGGTGATACCTTACGCTCTCTGCTCGGAGATGTAGAGGACTTCGCGATTTCAACACATTTGTGTTGGCATGGTCGTTATATTGCCGAAGAGAGGGATGTGTATCGGAATCGGAGGTCAATGTTTGATCATTGCGGGCCGTACGTACATAACAGGAATTGGGGGCACGACACCAGACCCTTCAGGCACGCCTGAATCCCGACACCCGATCAGCACTGTTTTTTATTGTCTTGGAAAAAATACAATCCCTCACACGGAACCCCCCCTCCACACACACACACACAATTGAAAAACAGGACTCATTCACCGAGACAGAAGACGACGACGGTGTGTGGGTGTTCAACACCTTCGCGGTCTTCGGGTTCATGGCGCTCCTGATCTTGGGCCACATCCTGCTGCTCTCCTATATTGAGGCGTCTTGGTTGTCTAAGGTGTGTGTCGCTGTGCGGATTTTTTGTTTTTTTTCTCTCCCGTTCTGGGTGACCACACCGGGCCCATGTGTCATGGCCCTCCTCGTCCTCCAAAAACCCACAAAATGTTACATTTCCATGTCATTGTTTTCATGGGCTGAAAACGCTCTTGACTGCTGTTTTTTCGCTGCCACGAATCCCAATCCCCGGACTGCGTGTCGTCCATGGCGGCCAAGTAGTGAGTCGTGCCCAAGTGGCGTCACTACTAAGTAGATGGACGTTGGTTCTAAATGACTGGGGTATGTATCGCCGCTCGGGCGAGGTTTGCGCTGCCGACGAGTCATGTTGGACGCATGCGAACCGAAGACGGTTTTTCATGGTGGTTTTGGCGCATGTCAGGGAGATGGGTACATCATGGCAGCCCCCCATGTACAGTCGGTGTAGAACTCCGTTCACTCAACTGTTTTGCTTGAGACAACCCTTGTCATTCATGCCACGACAATCATGCATGTGTACACGCGGTTGTGCCGAAAGTGTTGGGCGGCTATTGTTGTTGTTTTCGGCGTGTGTTTTTTTTTTTTCAGGCAAACGCCATCCATCGCCATCGGCTGGAGCGCAGAAGGGAGCGGAGAGATATCGAGCAGGTATTGCACCCCTAGTGTCCCGCCCTCCCTGAGGGGTGTGGTTCGCTACTGTGGTCGTGGTGCATAACGTGTGTGACACAAGATAACACACCCCCCTGGCCCGATTTTTAAAATCTCGATTTCTCAGCAACCGAAAAGGTTACGGCGCCGAGAACGGCGGCGTTGAAACCTTCTCGAGAGCTTTCCAAAAATGTATCGTTTCGTTTATGCATCCTCTTCATCGTGGAGTAATATTCACGAGCATTGAAAATTGATCCAGGGGGGTGTTATCTTGTGTCATATACGGTAGTGTGTTCCTTTTCGACGGAAACGAGACATTCCAGGAGCTGTTACCGTTATCTCCGTCGTCGTTGTTGTACCCGTCGTGGTTCGAGACCTTCTGTTACGATACGAGCTGTTGTCGGTATCGTCGTTATCGTTGTTGTTGTGTACGTCGTGGTTCGAGACCTTCTGTTGCGATACGAGCTGTTGTCGGTATCGTCGTCATCGTCGTTATCGTCGTTATCGTTGGTGTTGTGCACGTCGCGGTTGTGGTTTCTTTGATGGGCACAAACGAGACGTGCCTGCGGTCGTCATCGTAGTCGTCGTTAGCTATTGCTGGGTGGTACCCTCGATGTTAAATGTTGTATTTTGTCACTGATGACGTCGTTGGCCGTTGCTGCCTCCGTGGGCCGGCCCTCACCAAATCCAAAACCCTCACCAAATCCAAAACTTAACATCAAGTGACCCTCTCCGAGGAATGCGTTAGTAACTTTAGCGTTTAATTATTTTCTGTTTTTCTTCCTTGACGGACGGCATGTACAGCAATGGCTTCGCCTTTTCCGGTTGCCATCATGGGGGCACTGCTGAATCCCACGTGCTCCCCCCCCCCCCCCCCCCCCCCCCGTGGCTCGCACGCANCCCCCCCCCCCCCCACCTTTTTTTTTGTTGTTCTCTGCGGCTTGTTGTTCGGATACGAACAGAACCATAACACACGCGCCTGAAACTCACCAACCACCACCTGGTACGAACTACCGTTACGTTTTATTTTTTTTATTTGTGTTTTTGTTGTTGCTCTTGTCTCCTGCGGCACGTGTACAAAGACAAGCCCTGACGTGGAGGTCTCCAAGGCCCACCAGAAGTTTCTCGATGACGACAAAGCCAACGATGACCTGGATGAACAGGACGCGAGGAACACTGAGCGCTACCTCATCAGGTGAGCGCTGACTCTGCTGGCGTCCATGAGTATATCAAGGAGACACGCACGCTCATTCGCACCAGCCATGGTGGTACGCATTTTGTGGTTTCAGCCTTCCGTTCCACCTGCTCGTACTGGCGTTCTCGTAGCCCCCACCCCCCCTTCCTGTATCCCGCTCCGTTTCGACAACCACAACATAGTGTTCTCAACATTTTGTCCCTAAAATCCAGGCACAACTCGGTGTGGATATACTTCCCCCACGTGGAGCTGGTTTTCCTGCTCTTCGCGTACCAGGGAGCGTCAATCTCCGAGGCTCGCATGATCAAGAGCGGCTGCTTGCCTCTGGTGGTGCTGGGGGCGTGTGCGCTGGTACGAGGGGAGGGGGGGTGTACTCATAGTCGTGCATGCCGTAGTCGTTAGACCATTGACCTCGCATCCCTACAAAGCCGGGACGGAGCACGCCGGGTTCTCACCGGACCAGGCTCTCACATCACCAAGCGCGAAGCGCCGTGAGATATTCGGCGAGTCGCATGAAGGGTGCGCTGCATCCTGCTAAGGGTGTTCGGCATCTTGTGCTTACTTCCTTGCGTACGGATGACAGCTGCGTATGACTTAATTTATTTTCTGGTGCTTTCACTTCCAGAGACAGTTGTAAGCACTGTGTAACTGCCTCGAGGGTGCTTGACCATTTTAACACAACGTGGTGCGATCATCCCCCTTGCGCGGAGTGAGGGTTCTCCACCCCGCACAACATGATCTACTCGACCACCATTATGGTTACCGCCAAAAAAAAAAACGGAGGTAAAAAAAAAAACGGTAACCTGGTTGCCGAGTTCACGAAGTGAATTGGCTTGTTTTACAACGTCGTTGCCAAGCGACGAAAACCTAACCCCGATGGCAAACACCGAGGGGGGGGATACGAGGGGAGGGGGGGGGTAGTCAGCAGGCATCGAAGAGCGACGTGTGCTTGGTGGTAGTGAGTGGTGATTCTTGGAGGTATTCTGGAGTGTTGAGAGAGGTGCCGTGTTACTCTGATGTTCCCCCTCCCCCGATTCCTGCGGTGTGGGTGTTTTGTGGGTGGCTTTTGCCGTCGGTGAGATATGGCCTTGTGGGTAGGATGGTACACGGCAAGGTGAGCACGAGCACACGGCCCCCTCCTTCACTACCGTGTCGCACGTTTCCTCCTAGTTTAGGAAGGATTGCCAACAGAACGCATCAGCGGTTGACAATGTTGACAGTAATATCGCCACGTGTTTGACGAAAGCGCCCCATCGTTGTCCCGGCCCCCTCGTTTTGACGACAGCCCCCCCCCCCCCCCCCCCCCCCCCCCNCCCCCCCCCCCCCTCTCGCCCTCCGCTTGGCGATTCTATTCTACTTCGCAGTTCATTTTCCCCATCGTCCTCATGTTTTACGTCGGGAGGATCGTGTGGAGTCGAGTCAAGCCTCAGGAGGGGCCGGTGACCTTCGACAAGGGCCTCGCGCCAGCGGGGGGCGACGGCGGGGACGGCGGGGAGGGGCGCAAGAGGTGTTGGTGTGTCCTCCTCTGCAAGTGAGATGCTGCTGCTGGGGTGGCTCAAGTAACTGCTAGCATAGCCTGGCTGATATTTCCTAACGTCAACTGCAGCAACAGCGGACAGAGGTCGCGAGGCGGCTAACGTAGCCGTTAGCATAGCCTCGTTGGTATCTACTTATAACGCCGCCACCGACAGCAGTATGAACAGCCCACTTTCACCGTAGCCCCGCTGATAGACGTAACAGCTACGGCATCACATATGTATCGGCTACAACACCTAAAAAAGACAATAACGACTAAATACCACAGCGACAGCAATGCTGACGGCACGGAATAGCTCCAAACAACAACTATCACTGCTGTAGCAACTACGCAATCGCTAACGGCAACTCTAACCAACAAATTAAGTGTATGCATAGCGCAATACACACCCAACAGCAACGCTAACGGCAACTCCGAACAACACCAACTATCCACAGCTGTAGAAACTACGCAAACGACATCGCTAACGGCAACTCCGGCAACCAACAACAGGGGGTTCCGAGACGGTTGGAGGAACGGTCATTCGGTCTTCGAGTGGGCGGACAAGGGT